GGCCTTCTTCATAGACCCCTATCCCTCTGTCTTCCCACTGCTAACAATTCCAGGTTTGGGCCTGTGCTGCCTTCTCTTCGTCTTCCCAATATACATTCCATTGGTGATTTGCCATTATTATTATTGTTCTCATGATTTCAGCTGTTCTCTCTCAGAGTATTGGCTTCCACATCTGATTCTACTCGGGATTTTTCTCTTGAGGTTTCTGACTTCGTGTTGGACATGTCCCTGTGGATGTCGTGTATGCACATCAGACTCAGCAGATTCATCTGCACCCTGTGCCACCTTTCTCCTGTGTTTGCTGTCTCTTTTATTGCCTTCACTATCCCATCCTTTTCTCAGACTTGAAATTTTGACACCATTCTCCTCTTCGTTGCTTCTTTCCATTTCTACTGACCTGACCTTACTATTTCAGACTCATATGCCCCTGCCTGCCTGTTGTAGCAGCTTCCTGGCCCAGCTCCATTTCTTATTTTAAGGGAAGAATATGATTGTGAACCACTGGCCTATCAGGTGAAGTCTGAACATGAATACATGTTGATTATAAACCATGCTAATATAATTGACAAAAAATTGTTTTTCAGTCATTCATTTTTGAAGAGATGAGCATAACATGAGTTACTTTTTAATTTAATATTGGTAGCACCTATAAATCTTGACATGTTTACAAATTAGCCTGTGCACATAATTAAGTGTGGCCCTATGTCTATGGAAAATTGTGGTATTTGAACAAACCAAAGTCTAAAATAGATAATTCATTGTTTCATTTTTATTTTGCCAAAAAATCTCAGTTGGAATCACATGTTGTGTAGATTTTGTTTTTGGTCAATATGTTATTTGGTGAGTTAGTTTGTTCTTTAGATGTTACTCATATCTAGATATTAGGAGAACTGGATTCTATTTTAAACTGAAATCCTGAGAGCCTGCCTGAATGTGTCATTCTGGAAAAGAGATTCCCAATCCCAAGGGGATTGTTCACCATTACCTCGCCCTATCCCCACTTTTTAAAATTGGGCATATGGAAGCTGGATAAGAACATGCTTCATGGATTTGATTCTGTTAAATAGAATGCAGTGAAGGAGTGGCTAAAGCTAAAATTGTAAAATTGAGATCTTTCCCCCTTCAAAGGGGGAAAGGATATTTCCTCCTTTGCCCATCCTGCATAAGTCGAAGTTAGTTTTATATGACTAAAGATACCTTTAGGTTTCCAGTTCATGACATTCAGTGTAGCCTTTTAACTTGCATACTTAGCTGGTCATGGTACTTTCTTCCCAGGTTGAAGGACTAACCACCATCAGACCACAGAACCTGAGGATGACAGAGTAGGTCTCCTGTCCCTCCTATCTGTGGGACTTTGTGTGATTGCTTCACTCTTGTTTCTCCTGGGGCTGTGGCTATTAAGTTGACAATGGAAACACATGGCAGAGTTGGGTGACCAAGTCAGAAGAAAGGTGGAGCACGAGATTTTGTAATTGTTTGGCCAAAATAAAGAAGACTTATGCCTTAGGCTGTTGCAGAAAATCCAGAGACTTGCCCTGCATTTTAGGTTTATATATCTTGGAAGGTGATAATTGAAAGGCAGAGAGAAGATAGTTAGTTATGGTCAGGGTAGGGCTTTCCCAAGGCCAGACAGGCGATTTGGTCATTAGCCTGAGGGATATACTCCAGCATCTTGTTCTCATCACTGGGTGGGGAGGAATGAGTAGGGGCTGGGGGAGGGGTGGGGTGGAGTGGCAAGAGCTGACCTTACAAACTCTGACTGATGTTCTGGCACCATTGGAGTTTGCCTAGCTATGGATGGAGCAGAGCAGACACCTGAGTTCCTGTCCAGACTCTTTCAGACTCATTAGCTGTGGAACCTGGGCAAGGGATTATGTGTATCATAAAATAGGAATAATATCTATTATACTATTGCTGTGAGGATTCAATGAGTTGACATATGGAAGGCACTTAGTGCACTCCTGGGCCCAGAGTAGGGGCTCAATACTTACTGTATTTTATTGAATCTAGGTTACCATCTTTTATAAGATGCACCATTATTTTCATACCATTAAGGAAACAAAAAGACTGCCAATTAAAGTATGACACACTGCTTTCTCATCACTTAATGGATGATTGTTGCTTTATAGGAAAATATAGAATTGGGGATTTTCCTCCAATGAGAAGTACTTGCTTCACTGATGACAAAGTCATCCCCATTGCTGTTTCTATACTTTTCTGCTTATGCAGTCATTGAAAATTTGAATTCTGTATGATACTGTACTCCTTTTGAAAATGACAGTTAAACTTGACACATGTAGTTCCAACGTAGCACATAACTGAAGGGTCAAGAAATGGGAGGGAACAGCTTTCATTTAGAGGCAGTGGCTGCTCTGTCACCGCTGCAGCATGAAGGACAGCATGGGAAGATGCCTCCTGATTCCAGAAATTTTAAAATGTGAATATAAAGTATATTTTAGAATTGATAAACTATAGTAAAAGCTTTTCTTAGTCTCAGCTGTTTCATGAAAATAAATAATTTGTTTTAGGCCCTCTTGAAGCAGTAAGATAAACTCTTGTGGAAATGAGGGCTGTGGGTATATTTGTATCTCCTGAGTGCCTGGCACAGAACCTTCCACATCGTAAATGCCAATATACAAATAAAAATTAAGAAATGCATCTGTGGTTCCTGTGTTTTCTACAAGGATGCTTACTTTTTCAAAGAGATTATTCACCATGGAATTTCTTTAAATAGCATTTAAAAATATGATTCATTTTGCCAAATGTAAATTCACACATAATTTTTCAGTAACATGTCAGATGTATAATGTAACATACATCTGTGGTCTGTCTCTGGCTGTGGAAAGGAAGAGCAGATTGAAGATTAGAAGATCAGAAGGAGAAAAAAAGCAAGAGATTAAGTTTATGCTCTGGTTGACCTTAACATTGGTCTTCTGTTACTTGTCTATACAGTTCTGTTTTTTTCCTGAAGAGAAACAGTGAGTCCGGTGTACTGATGGCAACTGACTGGAGATCAGAAGATGTAGGCTCCAATCCCTCTTCCTTAGAATGTTCTGGCATGAAGAAAAATCTGCTACCTTTTTCTGGTACGGGGCCCGATGATTTCCGATTTTTCTCAGTTTTTGCTTTTCCAGATCTTGGCTCTGAGCAGTCTTAGAAACCGGAGGGCTGTGCAGGCTGCTGCCATGACTTACCAGGAATAACTTAAAAGGTGGATGGGATTTAAAAAAATACAAAAATTGAAATAGCCTCATGCCTTACTTGTAATACTTACAAGCTAGTGATTGGAGTCTCTTCCTCAAAGGCTGGGAGACTATGCCACTCCTTCTTGATTTCTCAACCTAATGAGCAGCCAGAGGATTTTCTCTGTCCTTTTCTGGGGCATTCTCTGATGGGATTGTGCTCAAAAACTCCTGCCCAGGTACTTTTGTCAGGAGGGCACTTCCCTGTGAAGAGCCAATAGGAGGCCATTAATCTGACGTTTACAAATGCCAGGTGGTCATTGCTGTTTAGGGGTTGGGAGAAGGCATGCAGGAACTCATGCTTTAACTTCTATTTAGCATCAATCATTCTTTTTCTTTTGTACTCTCTATGTCACAAGCACTGTTGGTGAATGAAAGCCCCATTCTACTTGAGACTCTGTGTGCAAATCACCTAGGGGTTAAGTCTTTCTTCTAGGCCTCTCCTTA